CTTGCTTTTGGGCCCTTAACAATGTCCCTTTGAAAAACTGCCAACTCTCCTCAATTGTTTTCCCCTCAGTCTCAATTCCCATGGGACCTTATCTATCAGCTCTCTGAGCTTACCAAAATCCGCCTTCCCAAAATCCATTGTCTCTATTTTGCTGTTCTCCCTTCTACCCTTCCTTAGAATTGTGAACTCCTATGATTTCATGATCACTTTCACCCAAGCTGCCTTCCACTTTCAAATTCTCAGCCAGTTCCTGCCTATTTATTAGGATCAAATCTAGAACAGCTTCCCCCCTGGTAGCTTTTTCAACCTTCTAAAATAAAAAGTTGTCACCAATGCAGTCCAAGAACTTATTGGATAGTCTGTGCCCCACAGTGTTATTTTCCCAACATATATCTGGATAGTTGAAGTCCCCCATCACCACCAAATCTTGGGCTTTGGATGATTTTGTTAGTTGTTTAAAAAAAGCCTCATCCACTTCTTCCACCTGGGTAGGTGGCCTGTAGTAGACTCCTAGCATGACATCACCTTTGTTTTTAATCCCTTTTAGCCTAACCCTGGGTATGTCTACGCTGCCACCCTAGTTCGAACTAGGGTGGCTAATCTAGGCATTCGAAGTTGCAAATGAAGCCCGGGATTTAAATATCCCAGGCTTCATTTGCATCTTGCCGGGCACCGCCATTTTTAAATCCCCCTTAGTGTGGACTCCGTTCCTGCAGCACGGAGTAGGTAGTTCGAATTAGGCTCTCTAATTCGAACTACCGGTATACCTCGTTCCACGTGTGAGGTCTGGTAGATGGTGGAGGAGGTGGGGGATGCACCAAGCTCACAGCAGGCCCAGCTGTGAAGAAAAGTTACCAGGGCAGTCATCACGGGAGCCACTGTCTATGAAGTCTAGCCCTAATCTCTTTGGTGTCTCCTAAGTTCTCAGTTCAAACTATGATGATGTGCTTCAAGCAAGGACATATTATGCCTAGATAGTGGTCACTTTCCAGCAGAGGCAAGACATCCCGGGAGAGCATTGCTATACCCACAGCCTGGGGACAAGTAGGCATGGGAAGGTGGCAGCCAGACCAGGAACCTGTAGGCCGAGGGGAGGAGATAAAGGGGGCATAGTGGCTTGGCTTCCTTCTGTATCCTGCACACACTGGGTCCGGCACTGCTGTGTGGTTCCATGACTCCAGAATCTTTGAGGTGGCTTGTCATGGGAAGGTGTGACATCACAGTGGCCAGAATAAGTCAGGCCTCTGCCGGAACCTTGTGAGAAGGATCAAGGGGTTCCTGTGTGAGAGCATCATGGAGTTGAGTGCTTTGGACTGGCATTCCACATGCACCCATGTGCATAGGCTATTGTGCGGCCTCCCCAGGCTGAGTAGGCCAACAGAGGAGTGCACAGTCCCTCGTATCCCTTTGTTTGCCCCCATATATATATATATAGGGAAAGTTATAGAACTCACCTGAAGTACCTTCCCCGGATTCATCCAAAGCCTGGGAGACATCCCAGGGGAAAACCAGCTCCAGGATGAGAAGCAGATTCTGGCTGGTAGACATGGTTGCCTGACTGGCTGCTGCCTCCTCATTCCACCTCACACGTCTCATCCCTGCAGGATAATGTGGTCCCACCAGTCTGAGCTCATCTCCTGCCACCAAAAACTGCAGCAGGAGTGCCAGGACTTGGGTGGGTAGGGCTTGTGGTTTACGCTGGGGCTTTTTCTGCAAATGCTGATCCTGGTCCTGTTGGAGCAACATGCAGGCAGTCTGGAAGTACTGCACTGTGAGGTGCAGCACGTGCCTTGTGAGCCTGACACTGCTTTGC